CTGTCTACCCCTCTCGGTATTCTCTCAAAAAAAAAAAAAAAATTTAAAAAAAAACACAAGAAAATTCAAATGTCTCCAATTTTACAAAAGAAACTCACCCAAGACTCAAGCTCAGTGAAGTCCAAGCAAAAGCTACACAAAGAAAAATCACAAGTAAAGGCACAAAACAGCTGGTGTCAGTCACTTTGCAGAAAAATGTGTGGCAGATTCTTGTAAGGCTAAGTCCAGGACGTAGTTTCACCCCAAGGTGTTTTTCCAGAATTCACACACACAGTTGGCTAAAGACTTATCTAAACCTTATCCTAAAGAACGGAATATAAGGCCATTGTGTTCACCCAGCAGAATCACCACTCAAGAAACACTGCTGACAGACTCAAGGAAAGGAAGAATTTCAAATTCATTCCCATGAAACAAGCCTCATGCAAAATAGCATGCACCATTTTATTCTGTGTGTGTGCAGTCCTACAGCAGGCTACGCCGATCCTTACAGTAAACAACAGAATCAGGGTGGCCGCTGCTCGGAGGGCTGGCGTGGGGAAGGACGTACAGGCTGGAGGGGACTCACTGAGGTCATGGCCGTGCCGCCCATCTCGGTGGCATCTGTACCCTGTGAGCACATAGAGGGCCAACCTCTCCATTTCACTCTGCATCTTAAAGATGGGGCAAGCCCTTATGATCAGACGTAATGGGTCCGGGGTGAGATGTATTCCAAGTCACTTTGAAGAGCATGAAGACTAAGACGGGCGGATCACAGGACAGATGCAGGCACACCTGCATTTACTGAACAGCTCACTCACGTGTGTCCCTTTCTGGACCGGTCAGTGTTGAGAGATTTCCCTGGTTCTTGAGCGTCCGATGTGGACAAGAAGAAGCTATGCTTGAAAATTCATAACTTTGAGTCTCCAGCAATGTAAGACATGGCCTTTCCCCTGTCTTCCGTGTTAGGCAATCAACTTTCTAAACTGAAATAAATATATGAAAACAAAAACATGCAAAAGGCATACGTAAAAACATATGAAAAAAAAAACATGCAAAACGTATTTCCGATTCCTTCGGAGGACCAGCCTTGGGGCTGCCCCAGGCAGGAGGCCGTTGAGCTCAGCAGGAAGCCTTGGCTGCGAACGTGCAGAGGTGCTTCTGGATGGCCTCGAGCTCAGCAGGACGTGACTGTGGTGGTGTCTGCTGGCTCAGACCAGACCCCGCACTGTGCTCAGCGGGGGTGCCCCTACCCTCCCCACACCCACCTCACTAGGAGTTCACCACCCTGCGTTGTCTCTCCAGCCCGGAGGAGGAAAGGCTGCCCCCTCCAGGGAGCCAGTCCATTTCCTTTCCCCTTGCCCCTGGCTGGCTTGGTTCCTTCTTGGACCTGGGCTTCCCCAGCCTCCCAGGCAGGATGGTCACTCCTCACCTCTGACTGCACACCCTCCACATGACCAAAACCATCTCGGAGAAGAGGACACTGAGGGTCCGCTTTGGTCAGGAACAAGCAGTCCCCGGAGGGAGTGACTTGTGGGTGACAGTCACAGCTCGGGTTCCTGGAGAGGTGGCACAGTGTGGGCAGTGCTGACTTCACCCATACTTGTGCAGCTGAGCTCCTCCCAGGCCCTGAAGTAGGTCCTGCAGAAAGCACCCCGTGAGGGGAGAGTTACTCACTCAGTATTGTTGGCTGCTCATCAGGGCCAGAGGTGTGCATTCAATCCCCAGAACCTAGCAGCAAAAGACAGGGCCCTGAGCCTGCGTCTCGCAGAACCCTCCAAGGAGGGTGCCACACAAGCTCAGACAAGCCACTCAGGAGAACAGGTCTGTGTAAGCTGCACACTGCTTACTATTTGCTAAAATCGCAGCTTGGAGAGCCACCCGTTCCTATGACCCGTCAACAAGCAGTTGCTCCTCTGCGAGGAGCAGCCGAGCGGGAAGCTAAACAAGGACCAACCACCACCACGATGCAGGAAGAACCCGAGCACGCACGTGTGTGCCACTGACCGGTGAGGCCACACCTACCTGTCCAGTGTCTGCTTGCACTGCTTCCCGTGTCAATTCTGCTCCAGAGTGACGATTCGCATCCAGTGAGGTTCCTGAGGCACTTACTGATGTTTTCCCCAGAGAACACAGAATACCCATTTCAAACAATCACTCTAAGTGTGACATGAAAATAAAGGCTCTGGTGTCCTGGCTGATATGGAGGCTGAACGTGCCAGCCAGTGTCTAGCCCCGCTCCATCACGGGAACCTGCTATCCTCCGCCCCCACTAGGCAGTCTGAGCATCAGGTTACGGGAAATCTCCCAGCAAAGAGCTCAGATGACAACACTGGTGCAAATCAGCAAAAATCTTTTAGGGTTAAAAGTGTGATTTTTATTTAGATGTTACTTGTACATAATCTATAATAAGATATACAAACAGATAAAAATTGTTTAACAGGAATTCCTTTAATACCACTTTAAATTCAATTTACAACAGCATTGGTAATACTGCAACGACAGATACTCTGATTTATAAAACGAAAATTACTGCTACTCTGGCTGATACAGTCCCACTAGTGTTTAATGGATTAAAATGTATCATGTATTTCAGTTGCAAATTATGACAAAACTTTGACAGCCTGGACACTTGGTGCTCAGGAAAGATCTGGATGTTCTGAAAAAAAAATTTTTTTACTGAAGTGAAAATGTTAATTTTCTAATCGTAACCCTAGTAAAGAAAAACATCTAATGGTTGGGGGCTAACGATGCAAAACCAACTGTTGTTCTGCTCAGCCAGAAACCAGAACTGCGTGCAACTGTGTGACACCAGGTGGCACCGGCCACTGCTGCATCTCTCTCCCTACGTCTTTGCTACCAGGAAAAACAGGAGATTCAGCCGACACACACACGGAGAAATGGAAGACAGTCTAACACAGGCTTCCAATTTATACTGTAATTCGAAATGTAAAATTCATAGAAATGAAAATGTGCTTTTAAAGGTTATTCTCCACTTGCTTTGGTAAACACTTTTTTAATGAAGACTAAAAATTCCAGTCTTCATTTTTTTCTTCTCTTTTCATACAACATCTTAAGCAGAAAAAAAAAAATCTGGATCTCAGATTTAAACCAAACTTGCTGAAAAAAATACACTAAAAAATAAACAAACTTGGGTGCTAGCCATTGTTCCTTCCTGAAGTATATGAAATACCAAATAGGGCAAAAGCTTCCTCACGAGTCATAAAATCAAGTCGAAAATAACTTGGTGATTAAACTACAGCCAAGACAACCAATAGTTAATAGGCTCAGAACCTTTAGGAATAAAGTGCCACTGATTTTAGTTGGCTACAAACAGGAGAACTCCTGACGCCCATACTAGCTTTCACGCGCTCCCCAGAAAAGCCAAACAAAACCAAGAAGTATCAGGAATTCTAAGTTCCAGAACCTGACAGACAACTTCTATCACAAACATGACCAAAAAGTAAACTAGCATAAGAAAAACAAAATGAGATTAAAAATGGTCACAGTCCCAAGAATGATGCTTCTACATCAAAAAATTACAAAAAAAAAAAAAAAAAAGAAGAAGAAGAAGAAAGGAAGATAAAAGTGGAAACTAACAGAGAAGCTGAAAATTTTCACTAGCTATATTTAAGAACACCACAGTGGCCAGCACATGGTGGCCAGCCTGGGGCGGAGTGGCTCAGGAAGCCAGTGACTGACAGCTGGCTCCGCCCTGCAGACCCGGACACACTGAAGGAGGCCGCCATGGGGATACAGAGGTTTCTCAGAGCTCCAAAACCCATCATTCCACGGCGGTCCCTGCAGGCCAGACAGCTGTCACTCACAGACACGCGAGAGACAATCCACTGATCAGAACCCTATTTCTGTCATCTACTCCCAGTAGCCCTGAATTCTTCCCTTTCTAAGCAGTGCCTCTACTAACCGCTGTCTGCAACCCGGGTACTAGAACTCCGTCAGGCGCCTCGGAGTCTTTGTGCAGTCCTGTCCAGAGTTAGTACCCGGGGCACTTGTGTAACCTCGGCAAGCAGTTACCCTTCAGCCAGGATCACACAAACAACCTCCCAGTCCTGAGTTCCCCAAGGGCCCATCTTAGCCAGGGAAGTAAGATCCAGAGGCCTCTAGGAATCCAATGTGCACCATGAGGCAGGGAGAGGTGGGAACCAAGGACTCTGCCTCGGCCAAGGGTCCAGCCACGGTGATCTGGTGAGTGGCAGTTTACAACCAAATGTGCTGTGAGTGTGAGGAAAGAGAACGATGTGCTTTGAGGACGGGGTGCAGGCCCTGCTCATGGGATTTCTCCCTCATCTGGCCACAGCACCAAGAGAAGTGAGGAAGAGCTGCCAGCATCTACTTCCACCCAGAACCACACTCTGCAGATCCAGGCAGCAGAGCGAGGTGCCATCTGATGCCCTTCTGCTGGGCACGCAGGAGGAGTTGAGAAGCCCGTTGCTACACTGAGCTCACAGCACCCAGGGAAGCAAGGGAGCAGGGCAGTCAGTCCCTGCATCCCAGGCCCCAGCGGGCAGCTCAGGCCTGGCTCGTTTGTGGCAGTCCCAGCCGGGAGGCCCCTGGGCAGCAAGGGCTTGCCAGTGTTCTGACTGGCAGCCGCGTGGGCCCCAGCTCTCCACTTCTGTGGGCACTGAGCTGCTGACTCCTTGTAGTGAGATTGTCCTCCAGCACAGGGACCCCTGCCAAGGTCACGTTCGACAAGCATGCAAAGGCAATGAGATCAGGCAACAGACCATTCAGATTCACTCAGCCGCCACCACGCTGAGAAACCCAAGGTGGAAACGCTGGTTCTTCTGCGTTCCCTGGAGAGCTAACTTCTTCTGAAACACATTTTTTTAAAGGAAAGGGGGGGGGGGCAAAAGTCCCCAAATGGTAAAGCAATACCATTTATGGATGGGAAGACATCACACTGACACAGTTGTGAAATCTTGCCAAGGCCTGACACTAGGCAGCTTCACACACACTCACACACACATACACACACACACACACACACACACACACACACTCACACACACAAACGAGTCTGCAGAATTGTAGCGATCAACAGTTAACCCAAACTGCACTAAACACTTCCACGGCTGGGAGGAAAGCAAGGCGCTGTGCTGAGGACAATGCAATAGTTAGAGCGTACTTCCTCGTGTGCAGCAAGGCTGGCTATGCTGAGTGGCACTTAAGTATTACACAGTAAATACTGAAAAAACCCAGAAGTTTTGGATGTGCAGAAGCGATATCACATTATTAATACAAAAGGTGCTAAGCTACAGGATTAGAATACCACTACTGGGGGGGGGGGGTTGAGACCACAGGGAGGCCTCCAAACACTTCCCACCCGCAGCTGCCTGGTGGCCCGCCCGTCGCCTGCTGCCCCGCCTGTTGCCTGCCGCCCGGCCTGGCTCGACCTCAGTCAGACCAGTCATTCTCGTCGAACTCCGAGTCGTCGTCGGAGTCGCTGTACTCCACGGCGATGCGTCGGGACAGGATGGTAGCCACGTCGTCCCCGACGGGGCCCCGCTTGGCCTCCTGCTCACGCTGCTCCTGGACCTTCTTCAGCTGGATTCCTAGAGACACACACACACACGAGGGTGAGCACCAAACCCCTCTGCTCGCTCCCAGCCGGGAAGATGAATGCAAACAGCTCTCGGACACTGCTTTTCAAGTGATACTAAAAGTTTTGAAAACTTAAGAAGGAAAGTTTAGCAAATAACTAAGAAGCTTAATGCCATTCATTTGACAGCTACTATCAAGAATGAACACAGTACAATCATTCATTCTCTTGCTTAGCAACAAAGGAAGATACTGACCTATTTATCAACTCATTTGTTACCGCTCTCTTCTGGAATCATCTCAGACTTATGGAATTTCTGTGAGATTGGCACAAAAACATTCCCATGTTCGCCACACCTTGATTCCCCAATTGGTATAATCTGATCCCATGTGCAGGTTGGTCTGTCATTCTCACCCACACACACAGATATCCTTCTCTGGACCACCGGACACTAGGTGACATACAATGTCCTACCCTCTACTAGCAAGTCGACAAATACTACACTGATGTCACCAACAGACCCAATGTACTTGCAAGTGGAAACCATTTCTTCCTGGTTTAAAATCCAACAAAGGACCAGCCATGACACCCATGATTTATGTCATCAATGTGCTTTGCCCTGGGCATATGCACAGAAGTACCACCAAGGATATCAAGATACACTGAGGACATGGGAGTCTTCAAGGGGCTGGGTGCCACAGGCCAGGTTCTAAGGAGGTGGCGGTACCATCACAGCTGTGTCACTAACAAAGTTACTACCACGAGTTCCAGGGTCACTGCTGCAGGGGAAGTCTGTGCGGCCTCCATCTGGCAGAAAAGCCCTTGGCCTCTCACTCAACCTGTGTGGTGACTGGTGCCACGAGTAGCTCTGGGGGCAACCCACAAAACATGTGGGGCTCGGGCCCGGCGCGGTGGCACAGTGGTTAAGGTCCTCGCCTTGCACGCCCGGGATCCCATATGGGTGCCGGTTCTATCCCGGCAGCCCCGCTTCCCTTCCAGCTCCCTGCTGTGGCCTGGGAAAGCAGTCGAGTATGGCCCAAAGCTTTGGGACCCTGCACCCTGCACCTGGCTTTGGATTGACACAGCTCCAGCCATTGCGGTCACTTGGGGAGTGAATCATCGGACGGAGGATCTTCCTCTCTGAATCTCCTCTCTGTATACCCACCTTTCCAATAAAAACATAATAAAAATAAATCTTTAAATAAAAAACATGTGGGGCTCAGTGAGCCCCAAGTCCAGCCTGCTTTTCCATGTTGCAGGATCTGGGGAACAAGGCAAGATTTTTATCTGACAAAAGGGTTGCATGGCTAAATAAATTCTGCAAACTATTCACTTAGCACAACAAGCTGACAAGGCAAGTCCACGACATTCCTTAGATCGTGGGGTTTAAAACTAATTATTGATAAGAGTTTATTTTCTTGCACTGTTATCCTTAGCAGTAGAATGCAGAAAAGAAATCCAACAAATTGATCCCCCCTGTTATCTGGTTTTTATCCAGCAAAGCTCTCCTGAATTTCCGATTCTCTGTTGTCTTGTGTCTACTGGCAAAAACATATCTACTGTTTCTGAAAACATGAAACGAGGCTCCTTTAAGATATCACGTAGGCAGTCATCAGGTGAAGACAGCCAGGCTGTGTGACCTGCTGGGGACCCCAGGAAACCCACTTCCAGGAGGGGTTGTGGCACTTACCCATCCGGATGGCAGCAAGCAGGTCGCTTCGCGCATCGCTGATGGGCGGCTGCGCAGGTTCTGGGCGCTTGGCCTCAGCCACGGGGGGACCGTGCAGTGGGGAGGATGACAGAGAGGAACCAGGACCAGGAGGCCCTGGTGGGGGAGGCGGAGGGCCTGGTGGAGGAGGTGCCGTGACCAGGAGCCCAGTGGCAGGCACTGGATGAGGAGGAGTAGAGTAAGTGGAGCTGGCTGACGCGGGAAAGGCAGGCTGCACTGGGACCTGAAGGGGGCTGACGAAGGCAGTTTGTGCTGAAGGAATCATGGGCGGAGGCGGTGGAGGAGGTGGTCCTGATGGGTTGTAATACTCAATGATTTGGGCCGGGAGCATCCTGGTAAAGACAGGAGATACAGAGTGAGCAGAGTGACGCCGGAGGGCCATATCCTCTGAGAGCTGCTGTGCCCAGTTAGGGCTGCCCCAGACACAACGCTGTGGGCAACAGACAGAAACCCCCACAGGAGTAGACATCCATGCAGTGGGTCTGTGATTTCTCAGAGGTCAATGTTGCCATGGCAATGGGGATACCAGACCTTCTACTTTGTTCTAGAATGAGACAGTTGACTACAGCACCAGAATCTCAACCCCCATCACCCTTTATCTTGGGCATCTCTGAGGTGTATGGCTCACAAACCTGTCCTACACCAGCACAACTGGGGACATTCCACACCCCACAGCCCTGTTCAGTGGAACCTGCCTGTGGCCATGGGGCCCAGCAGGCTGCCAGAGTTTTACAAACCCTGGTGCCAAGAAATCTGCTGAATCCTAACCAGCCTAAACCAACGGGATCAGGGACTCGCTGTCTGCCTGACCACGGCAGTATCAGGCCACCCCTTTGGCAATCCTACCATCAGCAGAACCAAGAGCTAGGAGAGACCCAGGACGGTGTGAACAGAAAGCCCTGGGCAAGCCTGGGAACACACACTGGGGATAATCTCCATGGCACACCAGACTGAGAGCACTTGGGGCAGCAGGGGTGCATATGTGGCTCCCCTGGGCACAATCTGGAGATTTCTGTTCTTGAGAGACTGGGCTCGGCCAGAAAAGAGAATGTAGAAGACAGCCCATGGAACACAGGAAGGTGCACCAACCCCAGCACCCTGCACATGCAGGCCTTTGCATAGGAGGCGCCTGACCTGTACCTGTAAGCTGAAAAACAAAAGGGGCAAGGACAGAATGATGCCTGGGTGCCAAGAGGCTGAGAGAGGAAGCTATAGGAATTAACAAATGACACATAGGGGCCTGCAGGCTTTGCCTTTCTCACATGTGTTAAGAATTCCTTGTGGTAGAATCAAGATGGCAGAATAGGGTGAAGACACGTTGAAACAGACAGAGGAACATGAGTCATGGTGAAGCAGAGAGGGCATATACCAGGAAATAGAAGACTGTCAGCACAGGGGCACCTGGAGACTGACAGACACGGGAAAGCAATGGAGACAACAAAGTGGTGTTGCAGTGACCAGATATCCAAGCAGCATTCAGCCAGCGGTGATCTGAACAATATCAGTGGCTGGAACTCCACCAGCAACAAGGTGGGAAGCAGAGTTCACTGAGAACAAGAGAACTGCTCTTCCTGCTGGTCTGTTTGATTTGACCAGGAGCAGAGACAGAGCAGCAGATCCCAAAAAGGCGGTGTGGGAACAGGGTGGATTTCACAGCCTAAACCCCCAGCAGAGCCAAATTGAGCACCATCTTACGTAGGGAGGCAATGGCTGTGGGATAGGACTGCACATGCACTAAGCTCTGAACGAACTCATTTAGGGCTCAGTGAACCCTTAACAATGTGGTATTCTACAGGTTCCACCCAAGATAGGTCCCCAGACCTGAGAGCCAGCAGATCAAGAACTCCAGGAGTGGCACATCAGGCACCATTTTGTACAGTGTGGCAAAGACTTTGAGATTGTGGGGACAATAGTAAGCTGTGAGCAAGTTTACTTCCAGCTCAGTGCATTGTACACTGGTCACACAGAGAAAAAAATACAGACTTTGGCATCTTATAACTCAAAATAAGTCCATGTGGCCCTCAGACCTATGGCTGAAAGGCTCTGGCAAGATCACCATCAACAACCTAGCCATTTAGGACATGTGTTACCTCCCTAATCCTGGGAACTGAGTGAACCGGAAGTGGAAGAAACAGTGCACAGACAATCGTGCAGCCTGAGCACAGGATCACAGGAAGCAGAGTGCTAAACCATGAGCTGGGGCTACAGAGACCATGATGGAAATCTAACGTAAGAGCCCAGATCTGAAACTCACCAGAGGAAGTTGAGTGCAAACAAAGAATTGTGTACCAATCACAGTAAGTAAAATCAAACTGCAGGCCTATGGGTGACACAACTTAGAAATCTGCCCCAAGGAGAAGAATCTGCTAATCAGAAGTACAATGACCGGACCATGCGGCTGGGGGAGTTTGGGAGGAGTTCGGTCCTTGGGCTCTGGGGCAACTGACACTCCCTGCAGTGTGGCGACTGTGGGGGGTGCCCCTGCCAGGTCGGACCCAATGCGGGGGACTCACGCCAAAGACACTGCCGCAAGGCAGTGAGTGAGTCCTCAGCCTCCCCCAGGGCAGCCAGTGCACCAAGTGGTGCCAGGGATTGATTGCTGGCCGCCCGGAAGGGCGAACTCTGGGGTTTTCAAGATATGTAATTGCTGCCTGGGGTCACTCATGACTAAGACTAGGTTGAGTGTAGGTGCAAAGTGAATTTTCGGGTATTCTCAGTGACAGGGTCATGAAAGATTTAAGCATGCAAGGGGACCAAGACCTAGTGGTTTTAGGGAAGTATCCAGAAGATAATTTCAGTAAGACAGATGCAACAGCTCAATTATGAATGGAGATGGGATATTAGTATAGAACATCACTGATCGCCACACACTAGCCCACACCGGAGCTATGGATGGGGGCATCTTTGGCAGTGTTGGGTACCATTGACCGACTGAGTGTTGGAGTTGTGGAGTGGTCACATTTGGCAGGATCAAGACACTATCCAGCACGCAAGAGAACTTGGGCTGGGGGTAGACTCTGTGGGGTTGTGTGCGCCCAACCCTTTGGAATACAAGTCCCCCAGGTTAGCTTGCAAGCTGGGGTTGCAATGGTCTAAGCTAGATGTGACCACGCCACCTGCCATCACTCATGGGTAAAGGAATCCACAACAGCCAGGGTAGGTCAAGGCAGCAGCACCCAAATGTGCATCTTTAAACAGGATGTGTGGTGGGCCGGGCTGCCACTGGAAGGGCGCAGAATGGGCAGGGCTGAACAAACCTTAACTCACAAGAAACAACAGAAATCAGGTTGGAGCACAGTTCATGCCATGTAGGTCCTTGCATATACTGATCTGCATGAGGCAGAGGCACTAAGCCACAGCATCCAAGGAGCCAGGACAAGTGAGGGGCTCTGCCAAGCAGAGACAGAACAACCACCGGCCTACACCTGCTCTATGGCAGGGAAGAGGCCCGGTGGGGGAAATAACGGGACACCCTAGCTGGGTTGAGTTTCCCACCAAGGAGTGCATGGGCTGGAACTGAGGCTGCATTCTGATCAGGATACAATTGTAATCTCACTTGGCACAAGTGTGGACTGGGACGGGAAGCACCAAGCCAGGCCAGATTCCGACACCATCTGGTGCTCTGGAGGACCGGGGAGAGATATGTGACAGACTAGGCTAGGTCTCAGCCCTTACTGAACCATGTGTGAGCTGTGTGGGGGTATGGAAGAGCCATGGCTGGGTTGAAATATCCAACAACAAGAACCAGCTTGGATCGAAGGCCAGTCAGGAAAAGCCACTGTTCCTCCTAGGACAGGAGGCGAACTGAGTAGTGCTGGCTCATGGACCCACTGGTATGTGCGAAAACTGGCATTGGGAGAGGTTCTGGTGGAGGAGCCTGGGCAACTTCTCTGGCAGGATACGGTCCCATGCAGGTAAGCACAAGAAGCACAATAGGGAACAACCCAGAACAGACAATGAAAATTATCCCACTGGCATACACATGGCATGGGTGGGGGCAGACCAGCCTGAATCTGTTCACATTACCTTCTGGTGAGTCCGAGCACCAGAACAGAGTGTGGGTCGAGCCAGGTTCGGTTACAACACATACCAGTACACAACAAGTAATGCCAAGGTGAGATGAGCTGTACCAGATGTGGCTGCAGCTCACAAACAGCACATGTGACAATCGGGGCGGAGGCAAAGCCAACAGGGGAACGTGGGCACCCCTGCTGGATAACTACTTCCATTGGAAAGTGTGAATACGGATGGGGGCAGTTCAGACTAGGCAGGGCTATAGCACCTGTGGGCCTCACGATGAGCTGACTGTTCTGACTTGTGCGAGTTAAAATTAGAGTGGGTTAAGGGGTGTTTGGGCTTAGCCACAGCATTAGCTGGCAGAGGCTGGTACTGGGAGCTAATTCTGTCAAGTCAAATGCCAAAACCACCTGGAGACTGCATACTCTGAGAGTGGGTATGGCCTAGTAGGGAAATAGTGGGCACCTCCCTCAGGGTTACCACCCTTACTGGACAGCACAAAACCCAGGCTAGGAGCAGGGGTGGCTAGACAGAAAGGCACCTGCCAGTGGGTGTATGGGCTGGATAATAGGTTGGTTGGGTTGAACCAGGCTTCAATGTCCATTAACGTGTGTGAGAGCTAAATGGGATGTGGGACAGACTGGACAAGCCTGCGATGCATACTGGCAAGCATGGGAACCAGGGTAGGGGGCAGAACTGGTAGGGGTTTTGGGGAGTCGCCCCAACTAGGCTGCAGCTCCAACTGGTTTGCATGAAGACCGAGTATGAAGTGGGTAGAATCGAGCTGGACTACAACACCCGTTGGTTCACAAGGAAGACAGGGCTGGAAGCCGAACGGACTCAGCAATCGCAACGACCAGCATATGCATAAGCTGATTGGTGTGACGAACAGTGTTGGAGTCTGTACTAGCAAACTCACTCAAGAATCGGATCTGGGATCAACTCAGATGAAGTTTCTTTGGATATTTCTCCAACTGAACTGCTGATCTTGGAACCCCAACCATCAAGAGACTGTCAGCCAGTGGACTCTGAATAGGTTTCATTGCGGTTGGGACGGTGAGATGGGCAGCAATCCAGAACTAATGAACTATCAAAACTGTTTGAGCTGGACCCTTGGAGAGCACCTCAAGTTGGGGATCGGGGCTGGGTGGGAGGTAGGGTGGGGCTTTTCCCTTTGTTACTCCCCTAACCCCAGATACAGGGCAAAATGATTATATTAGTGTGGAAACAATGATATTACCCACTTTCACCCTGTAGCCCGTGACCCTTTGTACCCTAATAAACCAAGATTATAAAAAAAAAAAGAAGTACAATGACCAAGAATGAAAGAAGAGATAAAGGCACAATGAATATTACTGAAGATTCCCCTACAAAGCAGCAAAAGTCTTTGCCAACCTCAGAGTTAACTGAGGAAGACATTAAGAAAATGGGGGATACAGAATTCAGAAAACACTTGTCATAAAGCTTCTTATCAACAACAAGAAGCACATGCAGGAGCTAAAGGAGTATGTCACACAGGAAATAGCAATACTGAAACAAAATCAAGGTGAATTATTGGAAATGAAGGATGCAATAGAGCAAATTAAAAATTCTGTGGAAAGTGTCAATAATAGAATGAAGGAGGCAGAAAAAAATCTCAGAATTGGAAGATATTTCTTATCACAATGGGGAAACAATCAAAAAGCTGGAAGCAAAGTTGGGTCAAGCTAAAAAAAAAGTATTCAAGAATTGAAAGACACTATTAAAAAGCCAAATATGAGAGCTAACAGAGTCGCAGAAGGTGCAGAAAGAGAAACTGCGTTTAAAAAAATGTATTTAATGAGATAATAAAAGCTAATCTTCCCAATCTGGAGAAAGAACCGGGAAACAACATCCAGGAGGGGCACAGAACTAACAGGCTTGATCAAAAGTGATCTTCACCACAACACATGATCATCAAGCTCTCTTCAATCAAACATAAGGAAAAGATCCTTAAATGTGCTTGTGAAAAAAAAATCAACTGACATATAAAGGAATGACAATTAAATTCACAGGAGATCTCTCACAGGAAACTACAGGCCAGAAGAGAATGGAGAGACATATTCCAGATTCTAGAAGGAAAAGCTGTTGAGCTGTCGGCCCAGGATAACATACCCAGCAAAGTTTTCCTTTGTCTTTGAAAATGAAACAAAATTCCTCCACAGGAAAGAAAAGTTAAAAGAACATGCCTCTTCCAAACCTGTCCTACAAATGATACTTAAAGATGTTCTCTTGATAGAGAAGAGGAATAGCATCCACCAAAACCAAAGGCAAATGAGAAAAACATCCCAGTAAAATAACAGAAGACTAAATCAGTGAACAATGAAGAACCCACTGCTAAATGACAGGACCAAATTATCACTTATTCATATTAACCCTGAATGTAAATGGCTTACGCTCATCAATCAAATGTCATAAATTAGTAGACTGGATTAAAAAATGAAACCCACCTATCTGTTGCCTACAGGAGATACATCTCATCAAGAAAGACCAGCAAATACTATATCTCATGGATTTTGATGTGCTTGTTTTTTGTTTCATCATCTCTTCAAAACACTTTCTCATTAAATTCTTCACTGACTCACAGATCAAACAGCAGCATTTTGTTCAAAAAGGTTCTTGATTTTCTTTTTCATTTCTTCAGTGACACATTAGTCATTCAGTAGCATGTTATTTAACTTCATCGCATTTTTTATTTGTTCTTTTCTTCCTGTTGTTGATGTTGTTTTGTGGCTTTTCATTTAAGGGGATGTATAGTAACTGTGTAATGGAGACTGTCATATACAGTAGCATGTTGTTTAACTTCATGGCATTGTTGTGTAACTTTCTTTTTAAATTCCTGTTGTTGGCTCTGTTGTGGCTTTTCACTTAAGGGGATTTATAGTGAGTGTGTAGTGGAGACTGACACGTTCAGATGTGAGACACGTCCAGTGTGCATCTCTACTTCTGGGTTGAGGATTGATCCCCAGCGAAATTGTTGGATGTGTCTTGACAATGCGAAGCTGGACTCTCTGCCATTGTCCATGTGCGCAATGATGGACATATGTCTATGAGGAACTATGCTGTTCCTCATAAATATTCATAACTACACTCATGTTTCTCATAAACACACACACAAGTGTGCTGTTGTAATGATATGGGAGAACTCAGTTGGGGGCGGGGCTTGGGGCAGGGGAAGGGGAAATCCCAGGGACTACAGAATTGTATCACAAAATGATAATAATAATAATAATAATAAAACGATTTTAAAAAATGACAAAGCAAAAATAAAACTATAAAATAAAAAAGAATTCCCTGTGGTGCACCCAGGGTATATAAGGAAACTTGAGGGCTTGGGACAAATTCAGTCCATCCTCGTTGCTGTGGTTCAGGGATTCACTCAAACACACACATCTGTGTGTGTAAGGGACCCTGCACACCCCGGTGTGAACCTGACGTTGAGCTGTGATGAAAAGCGGGGAAAGGCATGATGCTGTGCCTGTCCTATTCCACAGAGGATTCTGTCCTGATGGATAGAATTCATATCCAATCACTTCTGACTTTATGCCGGCCTCTAAAAACATCAGTTAAAAACCCTCCCACATCCTACAGCAAGACTCAAACGCAAGAGTGAATGGTAACTGGCATATGAGGAGTGCCCACTCACCCGAAATCTGCTGAAGCCATCGGTGCTGAGGCCTGGGACCCCTCCGGGGCCTGGGGCGGAGGCGGGGGCGGGGGCTGCTGAGGTCTGTTGAGGGCCATGTGCCTGGCGGAGGCCGAGGGGGGCCGGTACTCATGCTCAGGGGCCTGGCTGGCAGGCCCATGTGGTGCTGCATCACCGGCTGCGTAGGACGGGGTCCCCGGCTGGGGGTGCAGAGAATGGTTGGGAGTGGCCGGGTAAGAGTAATCTGTGACATCCGACGCGTGAGACCTGGCATTTGAGAGAGACAGGGAGACAGGTACATTAAAGAAGGAAAAGAAAAACCCTTTAAGGCAAAAGCACACATCTAAATAATCATAACATTGCCAGTGCACAGAAGCCAGCTGCTCATTCCTTTACTACCAACCAGGTCTAGCCCATGAGAGCTTCTGAGCAGCAACGTCACTACTGTTTTAGCAGCAAGCCCAGTGTTACATGGAGTCAGATTCGCAGCTTTGAAGTGAACGAGTCAACAGACAAAACAGGCAGCTGGGCAACAAGAGGGTCCAGTTTGCACAGTATCTCAGCAGATTTGTATTCTATAGGAGAGAAGGCTACAAAGATAGATTCCACTGCATGTAGATGCGGCATCTAAGATAGACAGAGGTGGTCTGTGGCAAGGAAACTGACAGCATATAATGAGAAGACACACCAAGGCAGGTGAACGGAATAAGGATTAATAAGAACAGAGAAAGAACTAGAGTGCAATTGAGGAAATTGCATTTTTCACACAAGGACTGAAGGAGAAAGAAAACAACACAGTATGGCAGGGAAAGGCCTCATTTGCTAGGAAAGTGGAGCAGAGTACAGACTCTGAAAGGAAGAGAGCTCATGACTAGTTAGTGGAGCAGGGCTGAGAGGCACTGGGTGCTGGCACCCACTGCTGCCTGGCAGGAGACAAGGTGCGGCATGAGCAGCAGCTGCGGGCGTTAGTGGCACAAGGTCACGCTCAGGCATCCCACCAGGTTACAGGGGCCGCACACCCTCACAGGATGGCTGAAGCGGGGGGCAATCAAGGTGGGGAACCCAAAGAAAGCGAAAGGACAAACCCTCCGGGCACTCTGTCCTCCTCCACGCTCCCTGCCTGTTCCAGTCTCTTTGCGTCACTCATAAACTCAATGCCCATTTTCCTTCTCTCCCACTCTTCTCTTCTTGTTCTGACTTTCCTCACATGCACTTGCCGGTTTCTGGGAGGATTCAGCTTGTGTTTCTCTCTCTGAAGGAAACAGGCAAACACAGGTTGGGGATGTGGAGGGGCAGGGTTGGTAGAACCGAGTCTCTGGGTGTGGACCCGGAGCGGCCAGCAGGTGCAGGTGCTGCTCCACAGGACAAGAGGTTGTGTCCTGCCCTTTCCCTGAACTGGCTGCTGTGCCACCACTACCAATGTCTTCCTCAGGGTAGTGTGGTCTGCATACCATTATGCCTTTTCAACTGTGCAAGCTGGAAGCAAATGAGTTGAGAACATTTTTAACAGGGGAAAGAACCTGCCTTAGGCTGAGAGTCAGCAGATGTGTAAAATGTAAATACTCAGAACTCCAACATCATTGGTCACACGTGCTTGCCTCTGTGTGCCTATGAATCAGACTGTATGCAACTTCTAGCAGGTGCCTCCTGTACCAGGAAAGAAGAGAGAGTGACCAGAGCCCGGGTCAGAAGTGGGTATCTTGTGCTTCACTAAGCGCCACCCTTGCACAGCAGCTTCAGGACACTGGGCTGACTAGTCGGGGATGGAAGAAAGGACGAGACAGAATCAGAACAGCTTCCCAGAGGTGTGGCCACGGGGAAATGTGGGACGGGGGTGGGTGATGGTGGACAGCTGAGAAGAGAGAAAGGACAGAGAGAAGAAGGCAACTGCTGAGCTGGGAGACAGACTCCTGGTGCAGAGGCCGGAAGCAGCAGATCCCCAGGCCAATGTGGAGCAGCTGGGTGGTCCTAACACCAGATGATGATTACTAACTGGTATAGAAGACAAGACTGGAACGGACAGAATTAGGCACCCACTGGAGAGATGAAACCCCACAAGTACTCAAGCCCTTCTATGAAATGACACACTATCTGCATAGAGCCTACACATACCCTCCCGCAAACAGATCATCTCCAGGTGACTAGTAACACACCTAATGCAATGCAAATGAGATTTCAATTTCGGCAACAGTGCTTTTCAGGGAGTGATGACAAGACAAAAGCGTGCCCATATTTTAGACAACCCTGGCAGGCCTAACTACATTTTCTATCCCTGGTTGGCAGTGTACAACAGATGCCAGAGTCGGCTTGGGAATCAGTGGGGATGACTACAGTCAATCCTTCAGGGTCTTTCGGGCAGGCAGGCACAATCAGAGCTGCAACAGGGACCAGGGTTGGATGAGAAAAACAAGGACAGCCGGACATGGAGATGCAATACTTCCAGGAAAGAGGGCTGGTGACAACAGCAGGAAGGCATGTCCTCACTCCCACCCCTATTTCATACTCAAGAGACAACCCAAGGGGCTGGCGCCCTAGTGTAGTGATTAAATCGACTGTCTACAGTGCCAACATGTCACATGGGTGCCGGTTCGAGTCCCGGCTGCTCCATTTCCGATCTGGTTTCCTGCTGACGCACCTGAGAGGACAGCACGAGGTGGTCCAAGTCCTATCCCTGTCACCCGCTGGGAGACCCAAAGACAGCTCCTGGCCTCAGACTAGCCCAGTCGTGGCTAGTGTACACCTTCCTTCCTCCTCTTAACTCTGTGCTTCAAATACATAAATCTCAAAAAATTAAACTTTCAAGTGCCACGATGGACTACAGTCTGTTAGTAGAGACAGCATACAAATGAGAAGGCAAGAGAAAGGTATAGAGACAAGAGGAAATTCTGAAGCAATAAAACTTATAATCCTATCTGGTTTTTGAAAAATAACAGAAACAAAGATACAAACAGAGAGGAGGAAGACTAAATAATGTAACAATCATCAGCTTTACACCCAGTGTGGAACAACTTATTCCCAGATGTTAGACTGAGTTATCAACTGGGGGATCAGAAAACATTATCATCACTTTCCCATCTGCATCTGTGTAAAACAGGAAGTAGATATGGGATAAAGTATAGGTTTGTTTAAGAAAAGAATCAAAACAAAATTATTTGGGAAAGCAATAAAGCAGATTAGCATTGTAGGAGCTGCAATATTTGTGTATCTGTCCTACCCTGAGAACCATGAGCAGTATCTCACTTTCTATAGAAACAAACAACATGGAAATTCAACCTGGATGCCGGGAGTCAGTTCTGATTTCAATGATTCTTAATATTTGGGAGAAAACAGCATGTGCAGGGCCCGGCTTGGTAGCCTAGTAGCTAAAATCTTTGCCTTGCACGTGCCAGCCATCCCACATGAGCACCAGTTCTAATCCCGGCAGCCCTGCTTCCCATCCAGCTTCCTGTTTGTGGCCTGGGAAAGCAGTCCAGGATAGCCAAAAACCTTGGGACCCTGCACCCACGTGGAAGACCTGGAAGAGGCTCCTGGCTTCAAATTGGCACAGTGCTGGCTGTTACAGTCACTCGGGGAGTGAATCATCGAACAAAGAGCTACCTCTCTGTATATCTGACTTTCCAATAAGAATAAATAAATAGTTAAAAATTTTTATTTAAAAAAAAAAGCATATGTAGGAAAATTATCTAGAACTTGCCTCACACCCCACCAATGTCTTACAGGACCTTCTGGAGTAAATATTAAGGCACCGTAAGCACCCCAGGAACAAGCCTGGAGTCATTCGGTCATGTAGTCTTTCAGATGCTGTTGTAGCATCGAAACACTGAGATAAACACACACAAGAAGAAGACACAGATATAACACAAAGTCTGGGCTGCTGCTGGGTTTTTTCTTGCCGGGGGGAACATTCTTGCATCACGTACCATAAGAATCCACAACGGAAGACTGTGAGAACACAAGGTTAACAACTTCATACAATCAGAAACAGGAAATCCAACCAAAAGGAGGACTCATCAGGTCCTGCCACGGATCCTCTCCATGAGCGGTGTGACCAAGTGGCTACCTCCTGAACACTAACCAATGTTTAAGGTCAACTCTGACGGAATTCTTCTCTTGGAATTAGAATACCTAATATTGGTTACCTACAGTTAGCAATCCATCTGTCTTCTATTGATTAGTTTTTTTCAAAAGACAATCAAAAAGAACAAGAGATTTCTTAATCATGTTCGTCAACATTTACCAATCATTTTTAGATCCCATACAGTAATGAAATTCAAAGTCCAAAGCTAAAAAGAAAGGATTATTGAAATTTAAGTAATTGACGGTTTTCCCAAATTCAAAATACTAAACAGCCACATTAACTTAATAGTAAATTTAAGACAGAGCGATTACAAGAATGATCAAACAAAGCAACCCAATGTAAAATAACAGCCTCCAAATATTATTTCAAAATCAAGAAATACAGATGAATTATTCTTATGGAAAGCTTCAAAAAACGTTTGGTGGGCCATACAAACCCCAAAGCTCCAGGTGCATTTTCGGTTTACAGTAAAAGCAGGCAGTGCACAGTGGCCCAAAGCGAGACAGCAGGAGGCTATAACACGCACACACCTAGTGTCTGGGGACAGGGATCCCTCGGAAGACGCGCCGTGGTACACACTCTGAGACAACCTGTTGTCGGGTCTAAGCTCTTTGTCATATGCCATCATATTCCACTCCTGGCGCCTGTTTCTGGCTTTTCTAACCTTTTTCACCTCACGAGTGGTGCCATCTATACGCTTTTGCTCCTGACGTCCAGGAAAGGAAAGCAAGCATGCCAAGACAGAAGGGAGAGGAAAACGGCAGTTAGAAGCAGTCACAACGCATGGGAAACAAAGCTGCAGTGCTGTGGGAAACCGCTCCCCCTCCAGCCGCCTCCCGCTCTGACACCTGCCAAAGCTGCACGCTTCTCTCACCCGGAGGACTCAGCCAAGAAATAAACACTCCTTAGCACTTTAAAGAAAGAGAAAAGCTACTGTGCAGCAGCTACAGGGGTTGCTCACTGCCATTCCTGGTCACAAGGTCTCACTTTAACAGGCTGCTGCCCATTTTAAATACCCCAAACTTCTGGGCTCTGGATTAGGTGAAGTCTGGTGACACCATACAGAGATATTACTCCCCACCACGGTTCTGGTTAACACACAACGGCCTTGCAGAGGACAGCATTCGAAATGTTCCCAACTCTATGAGAAAATATTTAAGCAAACCTCGAAACCAAGGTGCACACTTACCTGCCCGTGCAGCCGCTCTTGCTCTGGCCCTACTTCACCAGCAAACACGCACTCAGTCACCCATGGGCTCTACACAAGGACTGCCTGATGGTGAGCACAGTGACTCTGTGTGTCCCTAACTTCGTGCTTGCCTCGCGACACCCTACGGCCTCTAAGGAAAAGAACGATGCGTTTGCATTTCCTTCTGATGGTTCCAAGTCATAGGGTATCCACACGGCACGCCCTGAGTCAAACACCGGCTCAGGGATCCGCTCCACAGCCAGGCTTGTGGTGGCAGCTTACTGTCCCAGGCACTGTGCAGGCCAGCAGTGACAACACAACTCACAAGCACACACACACTCAGGCCCTCTCTGCTGTGACGGGAGTTTGCAGTCCAGTAGTGGAGTCCTGTAAAGGTGCACACGTCAAGGTACTATTATAAAATCTGGTAAACACAAACGTATTTATAGTTCAAAATATATTTATATTATGAAATTATATATATGTATGTATATGTATGTTCAGATGTAAATGCATTTGTATCTTACAGACATGTACATCCTGCCATGTATATAGTAATGTTGGTTAGGTGGGCAAGATGAGAGCTCCACAAAAATAAACAGAAAAATTCAGAGCCTCTGAAGGCCTGCTGAGAGGGAGCATTTGGGGCGGGCTCCGGCACAGTGGTTAAGACTCCTAGTGGGACACTTCTGTGCCCTCCCAGAGTGTCAGTGTTGAAGTCCCAGTGCCACTTCTGATTCCAGCTGATAGTGTGTTCCCTGGGAAATGGCAGTGCTGTCTCCACAAGTGGGGTGGGCAGGACTGGGTTCTTAGCTCTGAGCTTCAACCTGACCCAGCTCTGGTTGTTGTCAGCATTTTAAAAGCTCTAACCTTCTGTCTCTGCCTTAAAAACAGTATAGACAACTTATTCCTTAAGGATCAAATATTATTTTTTAAAACAGAAAACTCGCAATCTTTTTGGTAACAATTCAACTTCTAGAAGTTTACTCTGGGGCTGATACTGCAGCATCATACGGTTAAAGCCACCATATCCACTGCCAGGATACCAGTTCGAGTCCCGGCTGCTCCACTTTCAATCCAGCTGTTACTGTGCCTGGGAAATCAACAGAGGATAGGCCAAGGACTTGGGAGAACACGAAGAAGCTTCTGGCTCCTGGCTTCAAACTAGCTTGGCTTCAGCCACTGCGATCGTCTGGGAGTGAACCAGTGGATGGAAGATATTTCTGTCTTTCCCACTCTCTCTCTGTAATTCTGCCTTTCAAATAATAAATAAATAAATCTTAAAAAAAAATTATCCTGAAGAAATTTCTGCACTTGACTATAGAAGCACGCATTACAGTGCTGTAACATCCACCATTTAGAGACAACTTACATTTATTACTATAGTAATGTGTAAATAATTTATGAAGCATCTGTATTTCAGAATATTGCACAATTACTAAAAAGAACATCCTTAATAATGTAAGTCATGTGCGATTCAACTTTATGTAGATAAAATCCTTAGTAAGCGTTCACACATGTATCTAAAAATACTTAAAAGGTTTGAAAAGATATATACCAAACTGTTCCCAGTTGGCATTCACTCCCAGGGAGGGGAGTACCTTTCCTTCCTTCAGTGTTATTACAGTATTTTACAACCAGCATATAGTGTGCGTATTTTTAACAATAAAAATAATAAAGGACAGGGAAGGAGATTTGAATACAATTCCAGTATACAACCTGATCAAGAGTCACTTTATTAAAAGAATTAATAACTATATTAAGTACTTCTTATTCTTCCATTAAGGTTTTACTTATTTGAAAGGCAAACACACAGATGGGGTGAGATCTCCTGTGTGTCATTTGTTCATTGCTCTAAATGACTGCAGCAGCTGGGACTGGCGCAGCCTGCATGGAGCCAAGAGCGGTCTCCCTTGCACATGTCAGGAATCCAACTTCTCCAGCTGAACCTGTGGCTTCCTGTGTGTGCAGTAGCAGGAAGCTGGAATAAGGGGAGCCAAGACTCAAACCTTCACATCCCAATACGAAATGTGGGCATCCAAAGTGTGGTCTTAACTGCTAAGCCAATGCCTGTCCTGAAACTAATAACTGCTATTCTGATTTCTTAAGTGACATGTATTGATCTATTTAGAACAAGTTGTGATCGCTCCAACTTTCTTTACAAAGGTTCAGCCTCCTAATCCACCTATCAACACACACACACACACACACACACACACACACACACACACACACACACACACATCAACTAGGACAGAATATTTACGGTAATGAATCTATACTCCAGCCACAACAGTTTACATCAAAATTCCTAGTAGATTCTACACGGTTTCCTAGGCCAGGATACTTTCATTCCTATCCAGAGGGCGCCTCGATTATGAAGGACATCTGTGTCACCTGCCCTGGACCCCTGCAGCACCCCACAGCCTTCCTACCCCTGGGCACACTCTGCATCTCCCTGTGTCTGATCTCCCTCCCTGGGCGCCTCATCCATGCTCTCTGTGCTTGAACCTCACAACACTTGGCCACAGTGTTACTGTACATTTAACACTTTGTGCTTATTTGTATTCATACTTTTCAATGCTTTAAACCTTTGGGCTTGTGAAATAACCAGGAAGAAAAGGGCATCCTGTCTCATTTTCCTATTCCTCACTGAAGCAGGTGCACACTAGCCTTTCAAACGCCCCCACCCCCTCTTCGGAGTTCCAAAGGGATACGTGGCTGTTGAGGAACACTACACTGTACCCTGCCTGAGGGCGATGGTCCTGATTTATCCCTCATTTAGAAGGCGTCCCATCATGATGTAAGTGAATTAATGAAAAAAACTTCATTAGAATTTTATGCTTTCGGACAATGTGAAATGGGGCCAAAATAGGAAGGGACAAATCAAGCTGAAGATGTAATAATCACACAGAAATTGTTTTCCCCTTAAGGAAAATGATCACAGAGAGATTTTTTTTTTCTTCAAAATGTGCCATTGATGGGGGGAACCTAGAAGGCCTTCTGGAAGGCATGACTGAGGAAGGTAACGTAAAAACCCTAGCCTTCTACTCTGTGACTGCAAAAAGGAGCGGGAATGAAGACAGACATGCCTTTACATCTTTGCTGCTCATCCATCCAAGAGGTTGCTATCTATTTTCCACACTTGGAATGTGGAAAAATTCAGCATGTCTTTCGAGGTTTCCCATCTCTGCAGAACATCAAGCAGCAGAAAGTACGAGCAACCCTCTCATGGCAGGGGGAATATCTTACAGGCCAGGCTGTTCTTCAACTCCAGTTCACCAGCAGCCCACAAAAACCCCAAGCCTTTCTCCTAATGAAAACTTTCTAGTACTTGTCAAGCAGGCAGTTTAGCACACAGTGAACATACAAAAACGTTGAATAAGAGTAAACCCTTGGAGAAGTACTCTTCTCAAAGGTCTCAAGCTAACTGCCAGCCCCCTAAAGGGCCATTCTGAAAGCAGAAGGCCCTCAGCCAGAGCAAAGCAGGCTCTTGAGAATCTGCGGGCTGTCCTTCCAAGGTGCTCAGCCTGCAGGTCCACAGGTCCCTAGCCTGCCACTGCCCAGGAGGGAGGCTCGCTGCCAGTAAGCACTGTCCCTTGAATGGACCATCTCAGCAAGATCTGAATTTGAACTGGGTGGAAACCCACCAACTGTTAGATAGAAGCAGACCATCCCATCTGACACGGAATATGGATACCATGTGAAAAGTTGACAGAGCCAAGGGAGCAAAGTTACAAAACATGGTCACAACAAAATGGAAACTTGAGCCACCACTTCTGTTAAAGCTAAAGTAAGTACTTTAACCAATGTTGACTATACTTCTAAAAAATAGTTTTATTGTTTTAGACTGAAGTTTTAAAACCCTCATGTAGAACATGTAAGAAAACTTTAGCACTAATGCCGCATCTCAACCACTTGAGGATTCAGGCCCTGGGTCTACAGAGAACTCCCACCTGCACACCGATACGCGCATTTCCCACACTGCATGACTTACCTTCTGACGCCTTTTTTCTTTCCTTTTGTCTTCTGTGTCCTGCAGCATTTTTTCTTTCCAGAGATCAAAGAAGTACGAAGGATCAGTATAGAACTTCAGCCCATCTTTCTTATCATCTCTGTGAATCAATGTTACAGGTGAGTAGTGGGGAGGGGAGAAGAGAGTTACTTTTTTATGAAGATTAATATTGATTTTCATTTAGGATAAAAATTAATGGGTAATCTAGCCCTTTTTCTCATCAAGTTTGCCCCAACATCTATCAACTCAAATAATAAAGTAGTAAAATGTTCCTGGGTCTAAATGTGACTAGTGAAAAATGATTAGTCATGGACTTTCAAAGAAGCTTCCCTTACAGCTATTTCCTTTACAAATACTGCTCAAGTGTATATGGTCTAAAGACCATTTCAAGTCTTAACATGTAAGTTATTTATTTATCTTAAAACAAATATTAATGCAACAAATATATGACTCAAATGATCACAATCTAAAGTAAATGCTCTAATCTGTCACTGTTTAAAAAAAGCATCTGGCCTACAGGTTATCTCTGAGAAGCAGCAAAATACATCTCATTGTGGTATTTCACTGTCACTTGGGGCAGACAGGGCAGTCACAGAGAGCTAACAGTCACTCAGGAGAAAGCCTGGCTTGTCCTTGAAGCTCAGCATCTCCCCAGCAGGTGCTGCGGCCTCAGTTCTACAGGGCTATTCTAGTAACTGGGTCTGAAATCCAACAGCACACCAGCCTGCCTCCACCTCTGTTTTAATGCTGGGCTCTTTAAAATCTTCCCTTGCTTGTCCTTGGCTCCCAGTTGATAAGGAACTTGTAATGGTGGAGGCTTTGTAATGACACTGGTGTGAGAAAGAGTTTATTCCCCTGAGATATTCAAGGCTTGCATAAAGGTAAAGATATAGGGGAAAAAAGAATAAGCTGAGCCAGGAACTTGCTGAAAATTTAAGATGTATAAAATGTACATTCTTTTTCTTTAAAAATGAAGTTATTATGTTAGTGAAGGCAGAATTCCTGAGATGAACAGAAACAGCCAGCCAGTATTTATTGAAACATTTTTTCAGTCACTTAGTATCTCTAACATTTATATACGACAGTTATATTCATGTTGAATGCAAAGGTTTATTCATCCTCAAATGTTGTGGTGCTAATGAGAAGAAGACTGAGTAGGCACTGCTATTCTTAAATGTTATTAAAAAGTAAAAAAAATACGCTTTATTTTCCACAGGACACACATGGGCATATATTTTTAGGTAATTCAAGATTGTACATCACCATAAACATCTAATCCTGATCCCAATTACTCCAATGCAAGTAGTCTCTTTGATTTCCTAAGAAGTTTTTTAGTGAGACGCCTTAGTAACATCAGTAAGAGATACTAGCACGAAGCCTCATGTTGTACTGTGTACACTGAGGCTGTAAATGCTAAGTCAAACTGAAGTTGCCCCGAAAAAATGCTGCCTGCATGAAAGCAAAACCAAAAGTTAAAGTATCACACTTAAGAGGCTAGCATAACACGTATATCCATTCATTGTTCCGACGGGTCTGCTAAAATCGCCAGGCAAGTAGGAAGGGCTTTCAAAAAGCTCATGGAAACGGAGCTAAAACAGCATACATTTCCAGGAACTTTCTGAAGCTGCCTGGATACTTATTCCATGAGAAGGTGGGCATCTTGCTCCTCTCCAGGAGGACTCCTCTGATGCCTTTCTGCGAGTGGGTGCAGTCGGGGGCTGCTGCTCACCACAGCCTGTGCTGCCAGGCTGCAGCGATGGGCTCTGGGGGCCCAGAGACCACAGACCAGTGATACTAATGTGAAAGGAAGGCTGGGAGGACGTGGGGGCAGACAGGGGAAAAAGTGTCAACAGGCAGGAGGCAGGAGGAGTGCTTCCGAAAAAACAACTCAAAAGTATTCTGGTGTGTACTATTGATTTCCTTGAACATTTGATCCTGATAAGGTGTTCTACCATTTTAATGATACCAGTAGGCTACTGTGTGGACTATGTTTTCATTCTTACAAGTTCCCAAGGCTGCAGAATCCATTTTCATAAATCAAGTAGCCAGTGTCTGTGGTGCTGAGATGTAGATTCTGACATCAGGTGCACTGCCAATGAATGACGCGGTTCCTGCACGCCGACGGACCGCTCTCCAGCCACAACCATCTCCGCCCACAACCTTGGACTCTCAGGTGCCCACTTCTTAAGTAAGAAATCTACATCTGAAAGCTAAAACACTGACACTTCAATAATCCCACCGCAGTGCTAACCTCATTGTGCAGAACAGTGTGATGACCATGTGACCAACCCAGGATGGCCTCTCACAAGGCACCGTGCACTGCCAGTGCTGTGCTCTGCTGACCCTGTCCCCTGAGCCGCCCCTGGCGTGCCTGCAGCAGCAGTCATACCTGTATGGTGTCAGGATGTTCAGGGGCGGTGGTTTGTCGCTTTGGTTGTAAATGTCAGCAACAGGGTTGGGAATGCTGTTCTTTGAAACCACCTGCTGGTCTTGGACTGTGGAACTTTTGAAAGCTTTTTTCATGTTGATATCCTGCAGTGACACTATTTACAGAAAAGTTGCCCAATTTCAGTTATGCAGAGGCAATTTTACTATTTAGAAATAACTCTCACTTGACCAACAAACTTAAATATCTTCTAGAATTATCATACAACGCTTTTTTTACTGTTCATTTAAAATAACCCTGCAGGCTACTCCTCCTCCTTTCAGCAGGCAGTTCTCTCTATGAAAGTAAGTCAAATTCTGGCTTTCACTTCTCCATAATCACCTCCTTATCTCATTGGTCCTAATGATACAAGAGCATTGTATTTTATAGCACACCTCAAAAACTACTCATTAATACAGTCTTGAGATGAAGAGGCATGTAAACACACAGAACTGGGTCTCCCCAAGAAAAAAACAGTCTAATCATTTAATTACTATTTAAATACAACACTTGAGAGTAATACTTGCCCTGGAATCACACAAATCTAAATGACATTAAGCTGTTCTGACATTAAGTTGTTGTTCTGACATTACCCTGAAGAAAAGCTGGTCAACACACCAGGGATCTCAAAAACATTAACAGGAAATAGGTATTATAAAAAAACTGCATAGGTTTCAAACTTTTTTTTTATACCAAGGAGGCAAAGTTATCATTTAATTCAATTTTCCCCTGAGCTTTCTGAAGTCCCCTTATTCCTTGAGCCATGATCTAAACGACACTAAGCGGTTTCGGCATCAATCCTGTTTATGCTTCATTCTTGTGGGTGCAACACTTCCCATCTCACTTATGAACACAATGACAACACGGACACATGACCGAGGCATCCAACCCCAGGAGTATACACTAGCATTTCCCAGCTCTGCTAGCAAACAGCTGGTCCAAAACAGAACATGGATTTCTGAACTCTGTCAAGAATTTTTTTCCTACGGTAATATACATGTGAAGGATAAGGCAGAATATTTATCATAAGGAGATTTTAAAAACATGACATACTGTGAAATTTCATAAAATTAATCTACAGATTAACCTTTTCCACTGTAGGGTTTTCCACAAGCAGTCCAACTGCAATAGTCAATAGAAAAAAAAAAACCCTAAAGGAGATGAATACATATTAAAAATCACTGTGCTAACAACTTTAAAAGCACATGCTTGATTTAAAAGATTTAGAATTCCCTATCTGAATAGACCACCAGATATCTAAAGTGTATTTTTAAAGTAAAAAGTAAAATCTAAAAATCTGATTGTATTTATTTAACTTCATAATTGGGAAAATTAAGAAAGTATTCATAATACAAAAATTTCAGTCTACATTTTTGCTAATTTTCTAATTCAGAAACTTTATTTCTACCTTCAAATAAGACCTGAACATGAGTAAACAAGCCTTTTAAAAATAATGAAATGCACATCACTCTTTAATAAGTAAATCTCAACTTTTTTTTGCCAGTGCTGTTACACAGATATACTGTAACACTAAGATACTAGAATTTTTTAAAGCAATAGTAGAAATCATAATAAATACCATCATATGTTAGCAGATTTTTTAGTCTAATCTTAAGCTTTCATTCAAACAAATGATGATGGAAGTAAAGTTTTTCAAAGGAACTGCTGACCATTTTACATATGTGGCTACTGCCTCAAAGTAAACAGTATCTATCAGTTAATATTACTTTAAAACCTGAAATGCAAAGGCCCTTGGTAAATGCCATTTCTGAGAAGATGAATACAGTTCTTAGAAGTGCTGAATCACCCGATGATCTACTGGCATCAATTCCAGCAGGAGGATCAGGCTGAAACCGTGCCTATCTTCAACAAGTCCACGGGAAGGACAGACCGTGAATCACCATGCAAGGGTTCAGTGGTTCTCTGCACTAAGACAAACCTGCCTTTTCAGGTCCTATTTCTATGGCCTCCTCTTACACACAATTCTTGCTAGCTGGACCATTTCTTGGAATAACTGTGATTTTTAGCTAAGAAGCTATTTCAAAAATAAATGCCAGTAACCTAAAATTAAGGCTATCATACTGAATGAATTCAAAGAAGCCTTTAAAACAGTTTTTATTTATAAGCTTCTTTGAACGAGAATATGGTATATGGGGTAGCTAAGATCTGAACCTTTCATCACTAATTAATCCAATCTTATGGGATTTCCCCCTCACTCTTGTAGGAAAAGACAGGCTAAAAGACCAGCATACTACCTCAAGGAAAAAGCAGTAATTACACTGCAATTAATTACTACCGTCTTGTCAACATCACTTCTAGCTCACTGCTTTCATGCAATTACCTACCCTCTTCCACTGTGGAATCCAGCTGGGTAACTTTGACAGCGAGGCGATCAATTCTGTCTTGCAGAGAATTGGCTCTGATGTAGAAGTTGTTGGCCTCATTAAACAACTCACCAAATATGTCTTCTGCATGTTTGCCTGCGGAAGAGAGTGAACGGACAGAGCTGTCTGCTCGGGAAGGAGCTGGGGCTGGCCCCGACACACACGCCTCCTTACTCCTGTCAATTTGTGGGGTCGCACATAGACAGGCACAAAGATAAAGGGCCTGAGAAGCTCTGAAGCTATTAGCAACATTCATCTAAATCCAAAATTGGCTCAGGACTGCCGAATATAGAAATATTCTACAAAGCATAGAACTATTATTGCCACATGGGCCACCACTCAAGCTGTTTTTCACTAAATGCCAACCTCTTCAGGGACAAACAGCTTTCATTTTTGCAAACTTTAAGTCAGAAGTGCAGTTTAAGGAAACCTTTCCCTTCTGCTGTGATCTGGATATGATCTGGTTCCCGAACTCATGCAAGGCTTTAACCGCCAAAGCCATAAGTTAACAGTGCTTAAAAAGGCGGAAACAACTGTGGTATTTAGGAGACGGCCTCAGTGGGAGTATCCATGGACAGTGGTTCTTCCCAGAGACTCACCCACAAAGCCCAAGTTGCACCCACTTCCTGTGTCTCTACCTCCTGGCCAGCCATGTGGCCTTTCCTCTGCATGTATTCCTTTATCAAATCTACACTCCTCTGAGTGTTAGATACAAGTCCTTCATTACAGAACATTTAAAAAAACAAGGTAGGCACTAGCATCTGCTAGTGTTCAACCTCCAAACCCTCCTGTCATTCTCTCCTTGATTAAACAGAAACATCAAAAGCGCCACTCTGAGAGCGTAAGGAACACACCTCCACTTTCTCTGACACACCCATCACCTCCTCTTTATAGTTGCTAATGCTGTACCTCCTGAACCTTCTAGGGGGAAAACCTCACTGGGGCAAGACTAACCTGACTATTTTCAGGATGTTCTGCAGTTTATTCAAGCAGCACTCGCACAGCCACTCCCCGCTCTCTAGGTAGAATTCAGGAGGCCATGAATTTCACGGGAACAGGTACCACACCTATCTGTCTAGAACAATGTCCCCCACACCTATTCAGTGGATGAGTAAACCCAGCAGGTAAAGACGGAGTTACTGTTTCCATTCTCCAGGTGACCAAACCGAGGATAAGAAAAGTCATTTGTCCAAATCCCACAGCTATTAACGGACAGAAACTGATGAAACGAAAACCTGGTACGACTTTCATACATCTCAGCGGACTTCAGGGCCGTAACGTGGAAGAGTGTGACAGTTCCTCAAAACAGCAAGCAGCATTATTACATAATGCAGCCATTTCACTCCTAGGTATATAACCAAAAGAAATGAAAACAAAGACTTGAAGACGTACTTTGCCCATTCATTAATGCAGACCCTGGAGGAGCAAGTGAGGCCTGGAGTACTTTAGTCCATAATCAACTCAGGAGAGTCCACTTGAGTTTCAGGCTCTCAAATAAGGGGGGGCTTTAACAAGGAAGAAAATCTTCAAAATACACGACTCTGCCCTGTAAACACTGTGGTAAGTCTCTCTCCTGCCTTTGCAGTGAAACTTCCCTGAGCCACGGCCCTGGCCCCGCAGGAGCCACCCAAACGGGCACTCAGTGGGGAACCACAGACCCTCGCCCCGCAGGAGCCACCCAAACGGGCACTCATTGGGGAGCCATGGGCCCTGGCCCCGCAGGAGCCACCCAAACGGGCATTCACTGGGGAGAGGGATTCAGGAACCCCTAACATCACTGCCATCAGACTTGTAAAAAACAGGGCTACAACACATTGGCCCTGGCCTGCCACAGTGAGTGTCCTGCTCTTTCTGCTACTACTGAAGAAAAAGAGGGTAAAGACGGTTGAGGTGGAAGAGCAGTTGTGAAAAAGACACGGAGGTAGAGGGCAGAAGTAGATGGGTTTACAGATCACGCCAACTCAAGCGGCAGCTTTCACGTCTCCGTGGCCTGCCTCTACTGACCCACCTGGCCTCTGCGGTCACGCCCCTACTTCAGTATTCCACTTCAATGACGCTGGTTTCCTTTCTCTCTTTCTCTTTGTTTAAGATGTATTTTATTTTATTTTTATTGGAAAAGCAGATATACAGAGAGGAGGACAGACAGAGAGAAAGATCTCATGTCCAATGATTCACTCCCCAAGTGACCACAATGGCTGGAGCTGCGCCAATCTGAAGCCAGGAGCCAGGAACGTCCTCCAGGTCTCCCATGCAGGTGCAGGGTCCCAAGGCTTTGGGCCATCCTCAAATGCTTTCCCATGCCACAAGCAGGGAGCTGGACGGGATTAGAACTGATGCCCATATGGGATCCCAGCGCTTTCAAGGCAAGGACTTTAGCTGCTAGGCCACCGCACTGGGCCCTTCCTCACTGTTTCTTAGGTGTGTCAAGCATTCCTACACCTTCAGGGCCTTGGCATGCCCTCCTGCTGCCAGGACCATTTCTACCCAGAAACTCACCGGGCTGCTCCCTCACTTCACTTTGTCTTCTATCCATGTCACCTGGTGAGGCTTTATCTGACAGCCAAATTGCACCAAAAAGGAAGTGCACCCTCCAAACACATATTCCCGTATCCCCTCCTGTTGTAAACTCTCCTTAGCGCTTTCCACCACACGATCATTCATTCACTTCTACCCATTCAGCTTGTTTCTTGCCTGACTCCCTCCACTGGAATGCATGATCCGGGAAGGCAAGGACCTCCTCTGTCTGGCATTGCTGCATGAAGTCCAGTGTCTATTTCATGGTGGGCTTCAAGCAGAAGGGTAATACTTAGGGATAAATGAACACAAACACATTAATGGAGTCGCTAACTACTAGCTAACTGCAACCTACCGTCAGGATGTATATTGGGGTAATAGCAAACACCCCCTCCCCTATCTCCCCACCCAGGACTCCCAGGGAACGACACTTGATGCTCATCATCCGAGCTCTCCACGGCAAAGCATGTAGGCGCTTGGCTTCTCTCAGGTACCCTGCCCGTGACTGCACGCTGAGCATACAGCACGGAGTCCACACCAGGGCCTTCTCATTAACACAAGCACAACAGAGTTCCCCGCTCGCCGAAGTCTGGGAAAGGCTGGGCTAAAAAGATGAAACCTGTTTCCATACCTTGGGGCCTCTCAAAATGTTGGACAGACAATAAGGATGTGCAAGACAACATCTCACATACCAGGTTCTCAAAGTGCCTGGGCCTGGAAACACCTCGTAACATCTTTCAGAACTACTGTGTCACAGAAGCCATTCAGTAAATGCTGGGTGATGTGCAGGGGAGCACCATGTATCAAATGCTTCACAACCAAGACTGGCAGTCCCTTATTTCTGAGTGCACAACAAATCAAGATGAAGCCAACGAACTTCAGCTTTTCCGCTTGATTATTCAGAGCTACACACACGGGTTTTTGCTTGTTTTCCAGTGCAACCCTCAGAACTTCCTTCCCTTCTCCGCTAGTGATGCAGATGACTAATTACCAGGGACAATGTATCACCAAGAATATCCAAGTATGTACTACGGTCTTTTCCAAAACATTAAAGCAGCATCCTCAAAGCACAACAACTATTGTTGACGATATTATTCTTCATTCTCTGCTGGATGCTACACAAGGAGTCTGGGAAAAGTTCACAGAAAATAGGTATTAGGAAAAACTATGCAAGGATTTCAACATGTTTTGCTCCAAATTTATCTTCTGAAGTACCCACATATAAGCACAAAAATAAATAGCATGTGTCCACCTTCAATTCTACTTAAGATGCTTGCAACTAATATCATATCTTTACTTGAAAGTTCTCAATTTATAGATTTATAGAGAGACAGAAATTAAAGACTTGCCTGATTAATATTTTGCCAGCTGCTGAAAGCTGACAAGCAACAAAGAGAAGGAAATGGAAGGAGCTGTCGTTTTTGATGAACAAGAATAAAGTACTGCAATTATGTAGTCTGCAGCTTCGTAAACAGCAACTGATTTAAAAGGCTGAATCCTACTTACGCTTTCAATGAGCCCATTAATAGCTAAACTAAAATAATTCTGAAATGAAGACCACATGGAGGTACGTGCAATTTACTCATTTTTTCCTGATGGAAGGTTCTACTTCTAGACTTGTCAGTCCCATCTAAACTCAAGAATGTCAGGTTAGGAAACAGGCCTCCAAATTTTCAGCTGCATTTTAAAGTGAACACTTAAGTGGAAACACAGTTTCTTAATAGGAGCTTTTCCTATAACACAAAAATGGTTATATTAAAGGCCTGCAAAAAATGACAATAATAATCATAATAATAATAGATGAAAAAATTGGAAAAAAACCCTCCCATATCCAGCACAAACCTAACTTGGTCTGTCAAGACTTGTACACTCCATTCCCCACTAAAAGAAATGAAGCTCTTTGGAAACAATGACCAACTCCAGGACTGAGCGTAGAAAAGGTGAAGATGAGCCAAGAATATACTGCTGCACTGAAAAAGTCAAGTTCTCCGAGACTGATGGGCAGAGGTCACACATCACAGGGACCAAGAGCCAACCCAAAAGGGCCACCACTGGCAACCCTAGCAAAGTGTAAGCCTTAAAGTCAGAAGACAGAGCACAGATCACGGCTCACAGGATAACCATCACTCACTCAGTCCTCACGGTGCAAACAGAGGTAAATGAATAAACACAGAAGTAAAAGCACTTAGCGCAACGAATCAATGCTGAAAAAAAATTGCAGCTCTCAATGGCAGTTACTACTGTAGGCAACAACCCTCACTACAGGGGAGGCTGCTCGGTAGGAGACGAATGGGAAACGGCATTTGCACAGTGTCATCTTGTAGCTCCCGGGAGTAAGACAGCTGGAGGCGGGGAAGGCGCAGAGAACACCTTCCCCAGTGTTACTTTACATATATAAATACATTAAGGAGTCTTTACTTTTTTTAACTTTGTGTGTTTATTTTTGCTTTTTATGTTTTTTATTTTAACTTTTTTTTTTTAAATTATCATCATCATTCTGTAATACAATTCCATAGGCCCTGGGATTTCCCCTGCCCACCCCCCCCCGAATTCCCCTATGTTATTACTATAGCATAGCTCAT